CAGCAGGAAGAAGCGAATAGTCTGAAGGAGCCTGTGGGAACTGGTCAGTGCATTTCTGCTGATGTAAGCTGGCACCTGGGCTGGTGGAGTACAGAGAAGCTCTGCCCTTCTAGTTTTGAAAGGGAGGAAGCTGAGCTGGGCATTCCCACCCCCGCTTTGTGTTTCCTGAGCTAAAAGAACCGCCTCCTCTCTTCCTGAGCGTGGTGTGAATGACCCCTGGTGGAAGCTGTAGACAAGCAGGATTTTTAGGAGTTAGGTCCCAAGATGAGGCTTCAGTTGGCCAGTTCAGCCTGAGGCACCCACATTTGAAAACTCTGGCTGCTAGTGGAGCTGGGTTTGTACTCAGGTGGAACTGGATTTGTACTCAGGTGGAGCTGGACTAGATCCATCAGCAATCTACATTCCTTATGTTGCATCCTGTCTACTTCCATTCTTCATCTCCTAGTACCTGAGCCTCGTGTTGTGTGTGCGTACTCATTCCTTCTCTCTGCTCTATCTTTTTCCCTTTACCTCGTGTCCAGGGTAGAAAAGCTTTATTACAGTTGCTGTACTCTTTTGTCTTTGCCTCATATTGACTGCACTTATTTTTTAATTTGCCATGAAGAGTTTAGAGGAACGTGACCTTAATTTTATTAGTGAGACCCTGAAAATGTTTATCTGGTTCTGCAGTGAGGATCTCCACTATGTGAGGCCCCTTTAGGTGATGATGAAAGAACACCACAACCATCTGATGATAACCATCTATTTTTCTTGCCTTTTTTTTTTTTTTTTGGCAGGCTGATTTGAACACCAATATTGAAGATGAATCCAGATCTTTCTATGGCGTTTCCAGCCAATATGAGAGCCCAGAGAACATGGTCATTACCTGTTCCACCAAAGTGTGTTCCTTTGGAAAGCAGGTGGTGGAGAAAGTGGAGGTAAGGAGCAAACACCTGGGGGCAAGGTCCTCTCTGGCTGCTGGTTTGTCACTTCAAGTATTTGCATCCTGTGTAGATCTCACGGCAAAATATATCCCATGCTTGTTGTCTGGGAGATGAATGCCACAGGTTATTATTTCTGAGACACAAAGGTGTAAGATCGCTCCAGACTGCGACACAGCCTTGTCTCAGGACTTCATTGAAGGTCTGGTAGTGTTTGCTATTTTCTCCTTAAATCTCATTTTCCAACAACATGTAAATATGTGAAACTTTCAGCTTTGGTGAATCTCTGGGGGTTTTTTGGGGAGGAGCAAAGAAAAGGTAGGAAACTCAGACCTTTGTTTTGTAGTCCAGGAAGGTAAAAACAAATAGGCAACACCTCACTCTCCTCAGTGTTTTTAAAGAGATCGTTTATAGACTAAAGCCATTAATTAACAGACTGTAATAATGTACAGATGATAGTTTTATGATTATATGAGGCTTATCTTAGTGTTTATACACTTCCAGCCTGAGCAACAGTGGAGCTGCATAATTATGTATATATCTGGCATTGAAGTTCTTCCCAATACCCCATTCAGCTGCTAAGAGAGCTGCTCTGACAGGCCTCCTGCCGCTCTCTTCCTCAAGGAGCCTTTAGATGCAGGAGGAGCAGCTGTGTGAAGAACACCAGGTCTTCTCCTGTCAGCAGTCAGTTCAAACTACAACCTTCCCCAAGACCCATCTCCAGTCAAATGATAGACCTGCCTGAAGTCTATGATGGGATAGATAGGCCAAAGGAAGGAGTCGCGGTGCACAGGAAAGGAGGGCAAGTTCTTGGGGTGAGAGGAGGTAACAGGCATTGAAGGATCTGCTGTGAAATTATAGAATCCAACCTCAGCTTCTGTTCAAAGGAAGATGGAATATACAGGAGCTAAGATGTGGATATGAACATAAAGCCCCCTCTGTGCAACACTGAGCAGAACCTCTCCTATCGGGAGCAGAGATACTAGGTTCTCTCTCACGGGTACCAGAAGGTTTTAGTCCTTTCCAGCTGTGAAGCACCCTAAGCATACCACTACCATCATCACTAGGAACTTCCTGGTCTTGCTCAAGCAGCAGTTTTTAACTTTTCCAGTTTATCTACACCTGGTATTTTGTAGAGATGTAGACCATAGCATAGCTGACAGTTGGTCTGCTCCTCCTCCGTACCTCTCACAGCTCCTTGGCAGTTTGCTGCTTGAAAACTGGCACCCACTGTTCTAAAGAAAAAAAAAATCAGTCCGAAGAAATTAGAGGGCTCAAGGGGACTGACTGTGGTGCAGAGTAGAGGAATGATGAATCATCTCATTACTGTTAGTAAAATGACTTGCAAATGCCATTGTAATTTTCCTGTTCTGATTTTCCGTTACATGATTTACTCTACTAGGTGACAACATGAGCCCCATCCGCCCCTTTTTTGTTTTACATTGCAGACAGAGTATGCACGCTATGAAAATGGACACTATTCCTATCGCATTCACCGTTCCCCTCTCTGTGAATACATGATCAACTTCATTCATAAACTCAAGCACCTTCCTGAGAAGTATATGATGAACAGTGTGCTGGAGAACTTCACTATCTTACAGGTGGGACTTTCAATTGTTTTCTTTGGTGCTTGGAAACACCTAAGGCGCATGCAGGAGTTCACTTCTCTGAGTAGAAGAAGATTTCCTTTAACAGCTCAGCATCTAACTGATCTTAGTATCTCTCAGGTGTGTTGTGCATCAAGACCATTTTTGGAGCTCTAGAGATAGTAACTCAGGCGGAGAAGCAGCAGAAGAATTTGAGATATCCGAGTAAGAGGAAACAAAGGAAAGGAAAGATAAAGGGAAAACTCAGGAGGCAGAGAGATAAAGAATCCTAGAATCCTAGAATGTTGTGAGTTGGAAAGGACCCACAAGGATCATGGAGTGCAACTCCTGTCCCTGCACAGGACAAGCCCAACATTCAGACCATGTCCCTGAGGGCACATGGTGGCCAAATGCTTCTGGAATCTTGTCCGGCTTGGTGCCATGAGCACCTCCCTGGGGAGCCTGTTCCAGTGCTCCACCACCCTCTGCCTCAATAACCTTTTCCTCATGGCCAACCTCACCCTCCCCTGCCACATCTTCCTGCCATTTCCTCTGCTCCTGGCATTCGTTGGTGGCCAGAGAGAAGAGATCAGCGCCTGCCCCTCCTCTTCCCCTTGGGAGGAAGTTCTAGACTGCTACGAAAGGAAAGAGAAAGATGAGGAAGTCAGTGAAGGAAATGCTCCTTTCAATACTGGACAGATGTTGGGGATCTTCCTGTGCCCTGGCCCTTTTTACAAGCTGAAAAAACCAGGAGCACTGTTATGTGGCTGTATAATTGTGTAATGGGAAGAGTTCTTCACTGACCAGGTGGGGGGGGGAAGTTGTTTCCTCAGGATCATCCTGAACCTGGAAAGAATATGGAGGCACGTAAAGGAAGGGGCATGTTAGGGGAAGCTCTGTGACACCTTCATGAATCACTGCAATCTCTAGGCAGGGTGGTGCTACAAGGCTACAGCAACTAGATTTGCATTAGTGTCTGTCATACCAGGAGCCTTTCCAGTCTCGGCTGCAGCCTAAATCTGGGACAAGGGCAAAAACAGCTTAAGAGATGGATTTTCCTAATGGACTGAGTTCTGTGCTCACCTCTACAAGACGTGTCACAGATCTTTGTCCAGAGAACCTGAGTCTGGGCAAGTAGAATTGATGCTAGAGGCTGCATGAAAGAATGGAAATCAAGTTATCTTCATTCACAGAATCACAGAATTGCCTCAATTG